CTTCACCATGGAAGATTTTTTAAAAGTATTTAAAATCTGAAACACAAACACAAGGCTAAAATACAAAGGAGCTAACCATCCTTTTTCTACACAATATGATTATGAAACAAAAGCTAAGAAGCGGGCCAGCAAATCATGCTAAGAGGCAGCAGGAAGTGGGACAGGGTGGCTCGTGGATTGACAGACTGCCTGAGAGATGCCACCCTCTGGTTTCGCTGCAAACAGAACAGGCCCAGTCCGATGCCCTCTGCCCTTGACACAGGCGTGCCTCTGAGTACAGTCCAGCCTCCGCACTTGTGTGGGTTAGGGGGTGCAGGTCCAGCACAAAAGTGGAAAAACCACAAATATCTCTAGCCTCTCCCCACAAAAAATCCTTAACACCATTGACCAAATGTGTCCTGGATTGCCTCTCCATCGTTCTCTGTCAGACCTTGCAGGGCTCCTCTTCATTCCTTACATTCTTATTTTCTGAATCCCCACCCTCCCTTTCACTTGCCAGCGCCTCCTCTTTGCACCAAGAAAATGCCAGAACGATGCTGTGGTGGCCCTCCCTGTCATCCTTTTCACTTCCTCTCTCTCTGGTAAGGGTGATTTTTCACAGAAAGCTACTAAACTCGGCAAGAAGGAAGGAAGGACAAGGACAAGAAACCGCTCCCATTTAGTTCTTGATGGCAAACTCGCAAATAATCAAATCTGCAAAGGTTAAACCTGAGAAAGTTGAGGTTTTATCTGTACTTCCTTTGATCTGTGCCAAATCACCCACCAGGCAGCTCCATGGGCCGGCTCCCAGTTCCAGTACCATGAGAGAGGAAGAAAACCTCCTCTCCAGTTTCTCCACACCATCCTGCGTCCCTCTGTCATGCTTCTCCCGCTTGCTTTTTCTTTCTAAGCTAAGTAACCTCCGTTGTTATAACCCTTCTTCACTGGGGAGTTACTCCAGGCACTTGACCCCTTTCATTGCCCTTTGCTGCATTCTTTCCAACACTACAGTATTCTTTATGGGGTGTGGCAACTAGAACTGTCCATAATATTCTAAGTGCAGTCCTACCATCAATTTGTATAAGGGGAGGACATGGCAGTTTAATTCTCATTTCCTTTCCTTATCATGACTGACATGGAGCTTACCTTTCTCACAACAGCTGCACACTTGGCTGACTTTCATAGACCAAAGCCCCAAGGTCCCTTTCACTTCCAACTCAGAAGCCATCGCGGAAGGGATGCTTTTGCCCCAACACACATGACCTTCACATTTGCTTATACTGAAGCACAGTTACTATGTTGACAATATGTTAGCGTAATTCCATGCAATGACTATCGCAACAACCCACTGCATTATTCTTCTGCTAGTGTGGCAGGGTGCGCCAGTTTTATTATTCTGTGAAAAGCAAACATCACCAGATGCAACTTTCTGCCAGCTGACTGCATAAAATAGTAATAGAACCTTTTTCCACCTTTATATGGGGCCATTACGGTGTGGTGAAAGGCACCAGGTCTTTAAAACTGCCTTCCGCCATGTGATGTCCTCCAGATGCCTTGAACTACATTGCCTATCATTCCTGCCTATTGGGTATACTGGATGGGGATGTTGGGCCAACACATCTGGAAGGCACCAAGTTCCTTTAAAGGATAATAAAAAAGGGGAATGAATTGGTCATTAAAGGGGGATCATGAACTTCAAATAAATCAAGGTGCAGACTGCTATTCGGATTACACAGGCATTTATTACATCCCAGTCATTGCAAAGTCCAGTACATCAATCTTGTGAGCCAGCCCTAATGTGATGAGCATTGGCAAGGGTAACACTGGATAAAGCATTGTCCAGCAGCGCTGTGTCGATTTGCCCGACACATTTGGTCCACTGAGGAAGGAGCCCTGCACATCCACAGTCCCTTCTGCATAGCCACCAAATACGTGGCTGTGTGGTGGGGCTGGAGGAACAGCCAGAAGGTACTTTGGCGAAGGAGGGGGAGCCAGTCCAGAATGTGCCATTCCACTTCCCCCTGGCAACGCCTGCAGCTGCTTGCATAAGCAGCGCTCCTGCGGCAAAACAGCCTTAAGGTGTTTGCGGCCATGAGCCCACTGCTTATAGCATGCTGTAAGACAGACAACAACGGAAGCAGCCATTTTGCATAACAGGATTAAAAGTAAAGATCTTTCATTTCGTTCTTCATTCTCCTCCCTTATAAAGTCTGCACCAGAGAAGGTCACACTTACAGCTTAGGGATGGGTGGATTTTGTTAAATCTACTCAGGCTGTGTTTTGCAGATTGTCAGGCGGACTTTGTTCCATCCTGTGAGTCCCTTGGACTGCAAGGCAATCAAACTGGTCAGTCCTAGAGGGGATCAACCCTGGCTGCTCTTTAGAAGGCCAGATCCTGAAGATGAAACTCAAATACTTTGGCCACCTAATGAGAAGGAAGGGCTCCCTGGAGAAGAGCTTAATGCTGGGAACAATAGATGGCAAAAGAAGAAGGGGATGGCAGAGGATGAGGTGGCTAGATGGAGTCACTGAGGCAGTTGGTGTGAGTTTAAGTGGACTTTGGGGGATGGTGGAGGACAGGAAGGCCTGGAGGAGTCGCGATGGGTCGGACACGACTTCGCAACTAACAACAACAACAACCACTCATTGACAGAATTCAACTTACAAAATAGAATGTCATTTTACTTGTGTTGAACTGTGTTAAGCTCATATAAAGCAGCAGAAACCAATCCACAAAGGTGAAAAATGGGTCTCCTGTGCTGCCAAATCTGCATGATTCAGAACAAGCCAGTCCACTGGATTCACAGATCAGAGTCAGAGAAATCCAAACTGGTCTGAATGCATTGCAAATTTTCTCTGATTTCCCCACCTAAGCAATGCAGCTTACCTTTGACCAACAGTAGCCTAAGATTACCTTCTGTACTTTATTGATGTTTCTTTGCAGAGGCTTGAGAATGGTAATACATAACTATTACAACATCCTTGGCTGAAAATATTGCCCAGAGCCAGAATCAAGTGTTATCATGGGTGAAAGCTGTTTAGTTAAACCCATATGGTGTGTGTTTAGTCAAGCGTCTTGAAGTCTATTGTCTACTCATTGACAGAGGCAGATTTCTTAAAAGGATATACAAAACTTGTGTTTCTGCTTGGAAATATGTGTTTGCACTAAGCATATTATTGATGGCACTGCCAGCCGTGCAGAGTAACAACCACAGTAACCCTTTTGCTGAACTGGTCCACTCCTCCATGGCTTAGACACAGCATTATTCACATGGTTATCTGCATCTCAGACTCCAAGCAGCAAAAACTTTCTGCCCACAGGGAAGAAGACCTTCTTGTGAACCAAGAGTTTACTCCCATTTATTCCACAGCTTGCTTATGAACTCTTTGTTCCCAGCACATGTTTCTGTAGCCAATCTGTGCTGATGTGGGTGGGGTCCATTGTAGTTCAGTATTTAACATTATGAATACTATTGTATAGTAACTTTGTTTGATTTTTTATTGCTTTGCTGTTAATATTGTATTTGAATGCGTGTTTACTATGCGTATAGTATTGCATTTATATTGATTTTGTATTTATGCTACTGTACATTTTTATTGTATTATTGTATTTTGTCTTGCTATAAGCTGCCCAAAGAGCTGTACAGGCTATGGGGTGGCATACAAATATAATACATCAATCAAATCAATCAGTTAATCAATCACATGAATCCAGAAAGGGACCTTTGAATCAACAGGTTGTGTTGCCCAAAATTATTAGGCAAAAGGGTGTTGCCCATTTGGCCTCATGTCCCTGGAACTTGTTTGGTAATTTTTTTGAAAGCTAGGAATTCATTAACAGTGCAGCTAACAGTGCAGACAAGACCACAAAGTATGTTTAAGCATTATATTAGGAAATTGTTAATGTCGGTGTGGGAAAAGTTAAAGACAAAACTGTATATTAAATTACCAAGATGGCTTTCACCTATGGAAGCTCTTGTATACCCAAATGCATAGAATTTCGATATGATTGTGAGATATGATGATATTTTGGATAATGAAGGAGGATTGAAACTGAATCAAGAAATACAAGAGCAAGGAATTAATATCCCTCGGTGGCACAAGATTCAAATTCAATTGAGATATGTTAGAGACTATAGAATGTGGAGTTTTTATAAGGATTTAACAACATTTGACCATGTGATTTTAAAATCAGATGAGAAAATGATTAAAAGATTGTATAATTTTCTTCTGGATAGGAGAATGGAAGATGAACAAGTTAAGAAAACTATGATAACTTGGGCACAAAACTTTGGATGCAATATTGAGTTAAAGAAATGGCAAAAGCTGTGGGAAAGAAACATTAAAGTAACATTAGCAACCTCATATAAAGAAAACCTGTATAAAATGTTTTATAGATGGTATCTATCACCAAACAGATTAGCTAAGATGTTTCCAAATATGTCAAATGGATGTTGGAAATGTAAACACAAACCGGGTACCTTTTATCATATGTGATGGACCTGTGATAAGGCAAAAAATAGTGGATTAAAATACACAAATGGCTTGAGGGAATGTTACAAAAACCCCTAATATTTAAACCTGAAGTTTTCTTATTAGGCATTGTACCTGAGGATGTTGGTCATCAAGCAATGTATTTGATTTTACATGTAACTACTGTGGCGAGAATTGCATTTGCTCAGCATTGGAAGAGTGAAGAACCACCTACCAACGAACTGATTTTTAAAAAAATCTTGTACTGTGCCGAAGTGGACAGATTGACTTGGTCTCTGAAGGAGAAAGAAGATACAGACTTCTATCAAACTTGGAATTCCTTTTATTATTGGCTAGAGAAACTGGACTATGCATAGATTTAAATATGTTTATCGATTATCATAAAAAGAAAAAGTTTGGGGAGCTGACCCAGTAGGTCTGATGTTTTTGATGCTTGATAATTTTTTAGTTTCTTTTTGATAGTTTTGTTAGTTAGTAGAAAATAACAATAAAACTTATTTTTTTAAAAAAAGACCACAAAGTATGGCTAGAATTGACTGATTGTATTGTTGCACCACCGCATCACCCGGGGGCTCTGGCTTGCACACAGATAAAGCATGTGCAACTATGAAATAATGCAACTCAAGCAGATAAAACATTTGAAGCTGGATGCAACTGCCTCTACTGAGAAGTGCGGCAGGTTGCTTAGAAAGATAACATGGCCTTTATTGGAGAAATACAGCAGAAAAGCAGTCCATTAAGCAGCCTGCTTTCTCAGATCTTGCAGTAAACCTCATACTTTAATTTTGCTCCTAGTTTAGTACTGGCTAAACATTCTTCAAATTTTTGATCCATTGCTTGGTTCTGAGCTTCTGTGAACAAGCTTTTCCAGTCGCCAACACTTCCTGTGAATATTAAATATACAAATGAGCAGTTGTGATATATGTTGAGAAATTATTTCATCAAGGTGGGATCACTCCCTGTGAATTTGATGAAGGCTTGGGCTGAATAGGACAATTTGCCATTAGAGAAGGTAATCCTAATAGATTATTCCTGATGTGAACATCATTCAGATGTTTGATAGGGTGTCCTATGGAACAGGATGTCACATGCTAAACATTCACCATAAAGAAAATGCTCCCCCACAAGCACCTTTGGATGTCTTTGGTGCATCCTTAACATAAACTTCATTTTTAAACATTGAGGAGGGAAGAGGAAGAAAACAGTGACCTCTTATTGGGAATCTACCCATGGAAAAGTGTCCTCTCCACCCATCACAGCCCCTGAAAACATACCTTTGCGGAAAAGAGCGTCTCCAAATGTTCCATGGCTCTCATGGGCTTTCTCTTTCATAGCTTGGAAGGTACTCTTTTCTGCAACACTTTGAAACTCTTCTTCGCTCAACGAAAACCCAAAGAACTTAGCTATTTTTTTCAAGCCTAAATTCAGATCCTGTATTTTAAAAGAAGCAAAAGATAGCACATTGCCCATGTCAGAAACATTACACTGATGTTGTGCTGGTGTCACCAAAAGAATGGTTCTGTGAACAAAGCTTGATTCTGAAGATGGATGTATCATGACGTCATGTTTGCTTCCTCAACCATATGTCAACCCAGCTTTCTTATGCCACTGGAATATCTGTTGGTCTGGGGTATACTAGGACCCCTTTTATAATAATATCCCTGAATTTTCTCAACTCCGGCTATGGCATCCCTCAAGAAACCATCTGCTTGGTTTAGTCACTGCAGGTTGTTGCACGTCTGTGCAACAGTATGCATTCTGGAAATTTCAGGGGGGAAATGCAATCCATTTTCATCATGAAGAAAGTAAACTGACCTGTCTGTGTGGTCTCATCAGAAAATGAAATTCACATATGAAAGGACTTGTCATTTTATTATATCTAAAGTAGTTCAGCAAGAAGTCTGCCTGACATTCCCATCCACAAAGCCCATGTTAATCTCACCTCCTTTAGCTCTTCGTAACTTATACCCATGACAGTTTCATCATCGACATACTTGTCCCATTCCTTGAGCTGGTCAAAATAGGAGCCCCAACCCACTAGAAATAAAAGAGAGAGGAGGACAGCTGCATGATTTGTGTGCTACAGCACCTAGTTCAGTCCAGGGGGCAAGGGGAGGAGAATACAATCAACATAACATCTGTTCTACTGCAAGACCTGTTGCAAGCAGGAGGGGCTGGAAGGGTGGATAAGCACTGATGGAACAATGCAGAAGCAATGCGTTCTTCTGCACTAACTTGGACTCATATCATTGAGACAGCAGTCTCTTGGAGCTCAATACTGATTGATTGATTGATTGATTGATTTCTATCCTGCCTTTTTCCTACAAAGGGCTCATGGCAGCTTACATCTCCTCCTCCATCTCATCCCCACAACAACAACCCTGTGAGGTAGGTTGGGCTGAGAGTCTGTGACTGGCCCAAAGTCACCCAGTTGGCTCCATGGCTGAGCGGGGACTAGAACCCAGATCATCCGAGTCCCAGTCCCATGCGCTTAACCACTACACCACACTGGCTCTCCTGTGTATATTCAAACTGTGTTTTTGGTTCTCCTCTTCATTTTTGCACCAAAGTAATGACTGCATATATTCGAATATGTGGGTTGCATGCCACTTATTTCTTAATGAAGTGGTTCAAATAATTAACTTCTGACAGTGCCTAGAAACAACCTAGCAACCGGCCAAGCATTAATCAAGGATCACAATCACATGCTACCAAAAGTTATCATCAGACAGAAGTCGTAATACTAGATTCTGGACTAGTTTCTGGACATCTTCAAATGCAGCCCCAGACAATGCACATTCAAAACAACGCAGATGTTATTGCCTTTTCCTTCTTTTTAAACACTCCTCCACATGGAGTGGAGTGGAATTTCAGATTAAAGACAGGAGGAAAGAAAACATAGATCATCCTCCTCCTCACCCAAGTGCCATGATTCCGATCTGGATCAAACCCATGTATGCTTCCAGTGAGTTAAGAATATTTAGTTTGGCCTTATGTTCACACTAAAAGGATGCATCTGGCACATCAAGCAGACCTGATGGATGAAATCCATGGCAATTGTTATGAATCGGAGATCTAAACATGCCCCTGGCTTGAGAAGGAACCCTCCCAAGCTGTGAAACTATTTTTCCCCCTTTGGCTAACAGTTGCTGTTAAGAGATACCTTTGCCATTCATAAAATCTGTGAAATACGCATCCCATGTTGAAGTAGGGAAGAAAGACATCTTATTGATAAAATGAAAATAAGATACCACTGTGTCTTTTGGATTTCGAATCAGCACCAGTATCTGAAACATAAGAAAGAAATGATTCTTTAAGATTTTGCACTCAGCATTTGCTAACTACACAGCTTCTTATTCAATGGAGCCTAAAAAAATCACATTTGTTGTTTTTTAGTCACAAAGTCATGACCTCTTCATTGCGCTACACAAGCAAGGCAGTGATCCATGAAGGGGAAGAAAATCACACAGAGGAAGATTGACAGCAATCCAGATCCTCCTCTCATTAACTTTTATTTTTCAAGTCAAGACATGCTGTCCTGCCAAGTAATCGGACCACCACTGTGGCCTTCTGGGTCATCCAACATAGCAGCCTGATTACACACAGGGACTGTCTGTGGGGTTCGGAGGCAGCTCCAGGGCTCCCTCTTCTGGCCAGGGACCAGAATAGCAGCCCTGGTGGTTGCAGGATGGGGCCCGTGGTGCTGCCTTCCTAACAAAGGTTCCTGAAGCTCCCTGTGCCTTCTGGAACCTCTGCCTGTTGGCCTGCTTCTACCTCTGTTTCTGGACCATGCCCGGCTTCACCTGCTCCAGTTTCCGCTCCAGTCCCAGGTATCTGCTTCTCCTTGGCTTGTCTCTCTGGCTTTTGACTTCTGACTGGCATTGACTGCTCTGCTCTATTCAGATTGGCCTACCTCGCTTTTGGGTTACCCACCTTTATCTCTGGACTGAGTCTTGATCCCTGACTATGATTTGGAATGGGCCTGTATATTGTACTGGTTGTCTGGGTCCTGGTGCCCCAACCCAATCCCCAGCGGCCCATACCCTAGACGCTGACACCATCACAACAGCTGCTCATCCCATGACAATGCAGGAAGTGCACAGAATTCGTGGGCATATTTACTGGTCTCTTGAGGAGCCTGGTGATTCCTATGTCTGTGGGGCACTTTATCCATTACAGCTTTTATTCTGCCACTCTGGACTGCCATGTTGCCATGCAGAACTGAATGTGGCATTAAAGGCATCATAGGCTAAAGTGTACAAGACATAGGTACTCACCTTGGCTTTCTTGTTGAAAATAGATGGGGGTAGTAAACGAGGCGTGAGATGAGTTATGAGGATCCTTCTGGAAGGTAGTTTGGCCATCCTCTTTAAACAAGCAAGAAATAAGCACCAAAATCAATACCAAGTTTAATATATTCCTGTCCCTGCTGCTACCACATGCAGCAGAAGCTTCTTTCCTTTCATTAGTGCTGCTCTCTAGAACTATTATTTCAGGAACAGCTTTTGTCCATGCATTTCATTCCTACCCTGCTCAGTTCCTCACTGGCAAAACTGCTGTTACAGGACATCTCACAAAACAGCAGCCTCTCACACACATAGTGCTTCTGTTTAAAAAGTTGCACATGGTCCATGTAATAAATGCAGTGGGCTCTTTGGGTGCGCATTAGTCTCCACAGCAGTTTTAAACACTTGGTGTGGGGTACAGAGGACAAGGCAAAAGAATGGACTACAAAAATTGTATACCTTGATAATGATTTACGAATTCTTCAGAAAGATTTGACGAAAACGAACTGACCTGTTTGAACTTTTTGCGTTAAATTATGAGCAAAAATGCATGAAATTTGGTTGCCCATATAGCAGTCAAACCCTAACCCCCAACCCTAACCCTTTTTTCTACCTTTGGGAAAGCAGTTTTCCAGATGTGAAGAATAATATGATCTGCATATGAAGCTGTAGGATTAGGAAGTTAAGGAAGTGGCTCCCCTCTGTACAGCAGTGGGATTAGAAGAAACAAGTACTTACAGGCATGAGCAAAGCAAGTGTGGAGAAACACAGCCCCTCCAAATAGGTCATTGTCCACCAACAAAGGAATCCAGAATTCTCCTGCTTTTACAATAGAGTGCTTCACAAAGTTCTATTGGACCTGATATCTCCAAACCCATGGAAATATCTTCATAGAGAGAAAATGAGCTCAGTTGTTTGGCTTTTGAAAAAGGAATTATTTATCATCAGTAATCTTTGGGCCATACTTAGCATTAAGTGCAGCAAAAAGGGCTCTTCACAGTTGCCCCTTTGTGAGAGCAATCAGGTTGGTTGACCACCGGAAGAGGACCTTCTCTACAGTGGCCCCATTCCTCCAGTAAAGGTTACCATCACACAGCCACCATGCTCCATTATTGCAAGCTTTTAGGAAATGATGGAAGCGTATTATTTTACTCTGGTTTCTTTTAATATTGCTTTCCTGGTGCCTTCATTGAATTGTTGAATCTATGGAATGCGCTCCCCAGAGAGGTCCGCCTGGCGCCGTCGTTATTTGTTTTTCGGCGCCAGGCGAAGACCTTTTTATTCAAATGTCATTTTAATTGTTAATAGTATTTATTCATTTTATTCTTTGGCCAGGGCGACTTAATTTATACTGTTAATTTATATTATTCTATGGAAGTTTATTTATGGATGTGAGCTGCCCCGAGGCTTTGGCGAATGGGGCGGCATAGAAGTCTCCTAAATAAATAAATAATAAATAATAAAATAAATTGTTACAGCTTCATTGTTTTTATCACTCTTAATATTGAATTGCTTTTATGTGTTTTCTTATAGGCCACTTTGAGGGGACTCCTGCCCTGAAAATCTGCTGAGAAATATGTTCAATGAATAAATAGTACCCTGAATACATCTGCATTCCCAAATTCAAGGCGCATAGGTTTTCCCAATTCCCCTTCGAGAGCAATTCTTTTTGCAATTTCCTCTTCCGTGTATTTTGCAGCAGTGGTTTCCAGGCTACACAGAATTTGATCGAGCCAGTTTGTGCCTGAAAGAGAGGAAAATACATGTGGCAGGCACTCTTGAGGCTGACACGAATGGTCATCCCAAGCTGTCTGCATTTTTTAATGAACACATGGACCGCTGCTGTCCAAGGACACCATCCAAAAACTTTCTCCACTGCTGATGCTCCCTCACCTCACAGAAATCACAAATGGTCACAATGGTCACAATGGTCACCCACAGAAATCACAAATGGCACAATGGTCACCCAACCCTCTTTTGATGAAAATAATCCATTGGTGCACCATCTGCTGCGTGATTGTGATCCTGTCTCTGCTAAAAACAACTGAGAAAGGAGAGCTCATTATCTCAAAGGCAGAGCGTTCTGCTCTTTCAGTGGAGGCTGGAAACTGATGTCAGAGTTGCTACTAATCCAACGATTCCAACACTCCAACCCCAGCTGCATTCCACTACTGTTATCTCTTCAATATTTACTAAGAGAGTAATTCCATTTTTGAAGTTTTGTTCCTTTCTTGATTTGATTTAAACCCTGACCTATATACATATATGTCTCAAGGTGACCTTCCTAATGCCATTTCCACCTTTTCAAAGAACAGATCGCTGGGTGGGTAGCAATAAAAAAAGGATAGTGAGAAAGTCCCCTGCTCCTACCCTACTATCTTGATCCAAATCAGAGGCCTTTGTGCCTGTTATTTGTTGCAAAAAAATCAAGCAGGCAAGAAATGTCATGTGTAGTTAGACCCTTCGATGTTTTGAACTCAAAAGGCTCAGGATTCTTAAGGAAACAAACTATTCAGTAAGTAACCTGACAGAGTTCCTAAGATAACTTCAGAATTTCCATGGAAGGAAAATTGCCCATCTCCTACTTCCCTTTGTGTGAATGCACAACCTCCCACCTCCCAAAAAACCTCCATGGAAGGTCCTCTTGAACCATGTGTGATGGAGGCTACTGTGAGAAGGGAGGAAATAACTCAGGCTGGGGGGCAGGGGAGGGTCCTTCCTATTGAAGAATTCGCTCCTCTCCCAGCAGGCAAAGTGGGGGGGGGGGTGAAAGTTTCTCTTGCATGATTTGACTTAGCTGCCCAAGTGCTACACATCGTGAGTAGACCTCATCTACTTACGCAGTACCATGCTATGCATTTTTTCTACTTCTGTCTTCACAGTTTTCATAAGTTGTTGGGGAAATGTCCCTGCCATGGAGGCTCTTAATGGCACAATCCTCTAGAAAAAAGCCCTACAGCTCCTAGCATGCACCCACTGTAGGACCTTTTCAGTCAAACCCTGCATTGGATTCTGCCTCAAGTTAATTTAGGATCCAATCAGGATGGTGATGGTGGTGGTGGTTGTGATGATATTTTAACATTTATAATGCCCCACAGTCTAATCTCTCTGAGCAGTTTACAACAATATAACTGCAAAAACAGTAGTGTCTTTAAGAAGTGTTGGCCTCCACTTTGATTCTCACAACAGCAATTTTTTCCTTCCATAGTCTGTTTTAAATTATTTCATTTTAAGGTTCAGTGTCATACATATCTAAAGCACTGCTCATTAGCAACCATTTTATTCATCACTTTATCCATCACTTTATATTTCATAGGAGATTTTTGTTTGGCTGGACAAGAGGGATACTCACCAGTTTTAGGATATCCTGCCAGGATCACATCATCCTCCCTGGCTTCAAAGGTTTCAAGAGCTTCAAAAGTTTCAGGAGAGCAAAAAGTAACAGGGTACAAAATACCCTTATAGGAGAAGAGCTTCTCTTCTGGAGCCAGTTTAGCTCCATCCGTTAATATTGTGTTCAAAAATTCAACAGCATGTTTCCTGTTCTTTGTCATCTTCTCTTCTCTTCTCTTCTCTTCTCTTCTCTTCTCTTCTCTTCTCTTCTCTTCTGCAGTTCTGATGCACACTGGAATTTGCTGCTATTTGCTGCTATTCCTGAACAGACCAAGATCTAGGTAGATCATCAAAATCATGGCATGTAATCAAGGTCATGGTCTCTATGTACAGACCTGCATAAAATAAAGTTACTGTTTAACTGAGAGTGCTGAAATGAAGTGCCAGCCTTTGGTTTCCTCTCTGCAGTTTAATAGCCTTTGTTGACCTCTGGGTGGATGATTCTCTCAGAGGCAAAAAATGTTATTCATTTCTTTTCCAGGAAGAAAAAATTGTTTACACAGTGAAGAGCAAAGGAGGAGGGAGAGTCTCTTCAAATAAATGTGGGGAAAGTTCATAAAAAGTAGCGTGGGCACAATGGAAGAGAGGCAAAATCAGGCAAGATGGTTACCCACGCTGGTACACTTGGGCAGCTGCCCGGTCCCCACACACGTCTTCACGGGACTTTCTGCTGAAGCCTGTCTTCAGTCACTCTTGATTTATCCTCTGGCCCAGTGTTCCTAAAAACCTCTGAACCTGGCCACTACCTGATCTCACACAATGCTCCTATCTGAGGTATCTTGTGGATTTAAATGGGTGTCTGCATAGGACTGCCTGGGACTGTCTGGAACACTTCCGCTGCTGCCAGATAAGCCCACCAAGGCTCACTGAGAGAGGCAGGACTCCTGCTGTTATGTGCTTAGTTATTATAAGTCATCTCTGACATATGGCGACCCTATGAATGAAAGCCCTCCAAAATGTCCAGTCCATGACAGCCCTGCTCAGCTCTTCTAAGTTCAAGACTGTGGCTTCCTTGCTGGAGTGAATCCTTCTCATTTTTGTGGATCCTTTTCTTCTTCTGCCTTCATCTTTCCCTAGCATGATTGTCATCTTCTCCAGGGAGTCTTCCTTTCTCATGATGCATCCAACATATGACAGCCTCATATTGACATTTTTGCTGCTAGGGCAAGTTCTGGCTTTAAGATAGATAGTTAGACAGATTGTTTTACTTCTGTCAAGGTAAAATACTACTTTATATCTACATATCTACTTTATATCTACTACTTTATATCGTTATATCTACTTTATATTCAAACTGAGGGCAAAATGTCTCATACTGCTTGTGAAATGGGCTCCAGTCCACAAAATCTGGAGCAATCATTCCACAGCTGCAGAATGGAGTCAATATCTTCTAAATGAAATGAAAGGTGCATGTCAGTGTATTATAAATACAGTGGCCAGACAAAGCTTGCTGTGCCAAGGTACACATGCTCAAATTTCCTCTATTCAAGGTGATAAAATACATGTCATGATGCAAAAGCACATACAGGGCCCATTTTACAACTGTGGAATATTGAGGTCTGACAATATGTTCTTAGGATCCTCCAGTGAGTGAACTCAGGACCAACATTTCTGAAGTAGTAACAATAGGAGTCCCTTGGACTCAAAAGAGTCCAACAAAAGAGTGTATAGGCAAGGCTATGGCTTTCCCAGTTGCAATGTATGGCTGTGAAAGCTGGACCATAAAGAAGGCTGAGCGCAAAAGGACTGAGGCCTTTGAACTGTGGTGCTGGAGGAGATTCCTGTGAGTCCCTTGGACTACAATGCAATCAAACTGGTCAGTCCTAGAGGAGATCAACCCTGACTGCTCTTTAGAAGGCCAGATACTGAAGATGAAACTCAAATACTTTGGCTAATGAGAAGGAAGGAGTCCCTGGAGAAGAATCTAATGCTGGGAACAATAGATGGCAAAAGAAGAAGGGGACGACAGAGAATGAGGTGGCTAGATGGAGTCACTGAGGCAGTTGGTGTGACCTTGAGTGGACTCTGGGAGATGGTGGAGGACAGGAAGGCCTGGAGGAGTATTGTCCATGGGGTCGCGATGGGTCAGACACGACTTTGTGACTAACAACAATAGGAACAACACAGTGCCCTTATGCATCTCCAGATGTTCATTCACTGAAAACCGTAGCATCCCCATGACTCCCCCGGCACTTACGAAGCAGTGGCAAGCCACCCACACAGATTCAGGTCAAATCCTCACTCTAGAAATTAAGCAACCAGCCTTTCTCCATTGCCAGCTAGCTTGAATCATGCCTTCTAGTTCCCTTCACATCTAGTTCTCCCCAACTCCACTGTTGCCCATGCACACTCACACACTTTCCTTTCAGCAATTCTTCACACACAGAGTCACTTTTTGACAGCTCTTGCCTCTTTCTCTTGCTCCTGCTTTCTTGTAGAGAACTTCTGGGCACTTTCTTATTCCCAGGAGGCTTCACGAAGGATCATCCCAAGAGTCTTATTTCAATGGCACAGCTAAATCTTAGAACTTGAGAAGAAAGTACAACTAAGCCTGTGCAACGTGTCTTCCCTGCACCATCAAGACATTTGTTTTCTCTCCACTTTGGAGCACATGCTGAAACAGCCAAGGAGTGTGTGAGTGTGTGCGAGTGTCCATATAAAGGCAGTCTTGGTTTCCTCATCCTTTCCTCTTCCATCCCCCATTCCAACAAACATTATTAGAAGTCTGCATTTGTTTTGCAACAAATAGTAATCTCCATCTTAATTCAGCCCATTTGGTTCAACTTGCATTCAACTGACTTTCTACAATTTTCATTCTGCAGAGGCATGACAAATGGTAACGTTGCTTGAAAATGGACGAGTGTGACTTTAAGAATGACAGCCTGATGGGTAGGAAACCTGAATAGCTTGGTGTGGCCTGAAGATATTTCACCTATAAAAGCAGGAAGCATCCCATATGCAAGCATGGATAACTTTCAGGCCATCTGGGAGCCAGTTTGGATGTCTGGGAGGCTACACTGCTGCAACAGCAAAGAAATTGCTGGTTTGCCACTCACTTTTGGTAAAAAACTGATATGGAAGCTCCAAAGGGCCACATTTAGTTTGGAAATGAACCAAATTTTGCCTCTTTTGAGTTGCTGTAGTGGTGTGCCACCAAATTTTGGTGGCATATTCTGACTCCTGTTTCGGACAATGTACCACTGACTTTTAGCAATGTGGGGGCTGCAGTTCTGGCTCTGGGGGTTACATGTAGCCATCAGGCCATGCTCTGCCCACCCTTATTCTAAAGGTTGGACGGACTTCAAATCCAAAGTTAGAACAATTAGGGTGAAAGCTAAGACAGAAAAAGGGCCTCTAATTCCTAGGAAACCCAAACTGTACTAGGAGTTTCTTTCAAGACTTGCAAAGAAGATTTTCCTATGTAAAGGTGTGGTTCTAGCAGTTTATATAATCCTAGCTTATAATTCTTTATGTACACAAAGCCAGCCAGCCAGAGAGATAATTCTGTTTCAACAGCACTAACCGTAGCCATAAGAGGTGCAGGTCACAAACCACACTGGTACGTATTATTCTATCTTTTTCTCTCCACTTCTTTCCAAGCTCTGTTGGAACAAAAGGCCCCAGTCAGCTGCTCAGTCACCATAACAATTAGGATTGTGACAATCTGAACTGGAATCCAGGTCACCTCTGCTTGTTGGACTTCCTATCATGCTTGGCGCAGGTTCAGCAAACTAGCTGAGATGAAGTACAGTTCAGATATGCTCGCAGAGCCCCCCCGCCCCGGTGTGATTTCACCATTCCGATCGGTGTGAATGGTGCGATTTCACCATTCCGATTGGTGCGAATGGTGTGATTTCACCATTCCGATTGGTGCGATTTCACCATTCCAATTGGTGTGAATGGTGCGATTTCACTATTCCGATTGGTGCGAATGGTGTGATTTCACCATTCCGATTACATTTCTGTCATGCGGCTGGTGCTTCTTCCCAACAAAAGCAATCACTCCAGCTGATGCTACAGAAGTCTTTATTCTACACAGTATTACAATTACAGTCACGTAAGCTAGGAAGTTGTCCTCTCATTCTAATTAAGTTCAACTTACATGGTGCTTTTGAATTCTTCTGGGTCGTCCTTCTGGAGGTGGGTCACTATGACCCCTCTCCCTGCCTTGCTGCATCAATCTCAATTCTAATTGTCCCAGTCTGCGTGTGTGGGAATGAGCATCCTCGACCCATTTCATCTACGTTATCTCCTAAATTCCCATCCTCCATATCGCCACGGGGTGCAATTGTTTCCTCAGTAAACACCAAATCGGTCTCTGTACGCTCTTCTGTTTTGGCATCTCCCTGAATTTCCTTGTCTCCTGTACTTTCGTTCCCATCGACTGTGCAGCTGGGGAGCAAAGCTTGTTCTGCTGGCACCAGAAATACATCTTCATCAACCCTCTGGTTCTCATGGGAAGTTTTCTCCTCTTGTGCACGTGCCAAGGACTCTTCTCAGTCTGCACACACAACACTACTCCCCACCTCAGGACTCCTCCTCCCGCTTCGAGGCAATGGCCGTTTCCTGCCCAGCTTGTGAGGAAAGCGAGAGTGAAACCTCCATATGACATCAGGAGCATGTAAATGTTCCACAGGTTCCCAACTGTGATCCTCCGGAGAGGTATCTCTTCCAATGTATCAGATATTTTAATCGTCCCTTGTGAATCTGAGAATCTAGAATGTCCTCAACCTCAAATTCCTCCCCCCGCCACCGACAATTATGGGCAGATGTGGAGTCATTTGTGTGCGCAGCGGGTGCGAAGGGTGCCACAGGGGACAGGAGAGCATGGTGAAACATGGCGTGTACCTTCATGGAAGCTGGCCATGCCAAACGAAATGTGACAGGATTGGTTTGAGCCACTATTTGGAAGGGCCCTGCCCGCCTGGCTGCCAATTTGTGAGGAATTGAGTGGACAGCCACACCCAGTGCCCCACCTGTAAGGACAGCCCTGCTTGATGATGTGCGTCAGCCACTGATTTATATGCAGCCTTGGCCCACTCCTTTTGTTCCTTTAGAAGCTCATGAGCCGAGTGTAATTCTTGGAGAAACTACCCCGCCACGGACACTGAAGCAAGTGGGAGAGAACTGGGAAACGCCAGGGGGTGATAGCCCATGTTTGCAAAAAAAAAAGGAGTCTGCCTAGTGGAAGCATACACAGAATTATTGTAAGCAAATTCAGCAAGAGGGAGGAAAGCAGACCAGCCATCCTGCTGATAATTTACATAGCAATGGAGGTACTGTTACAACGTCACATTCAACCTTTCGGTCTGTCCGTCTGATTGAGGGTGATGTGCAGAGGACAAATGCAAGTCTACTTTGAGTAAGGAGAGCAGTTCCCTCCAAAACTTGGAAGTGAACTGTGATCCCCCGTCTGAAATTAATGCTAGGGACCACCCATGTGGCCTATATATAAAATTCACAAACAGGGATGCAGTAGTTTTAGCAGTGGGAAGCCCTTTGCAAGGAATAAAATGAGCCATTTTGCTAAACAGGACTGTTACAACCAGAATGGTGGCATAACCTTTCGATGGCGGTTAACTTGGTAATGAAACTGTTTCATTTCATGTTACATATCGCCATGGGGTGCAATTGTTTCCTCAGCAACCACCAAATCGGTCTCTGTACACTCTTCTGTTTTGGCATCTCCCTGAATTTCCTTGTCTCCTGTACTTTCATTCCCATCGTCTGTGCAGCTGGGGAGCAAAGCTTGTTCTGCTGGCACCATAAATACATCTTCATCAACCCTCTGGTTCTCATGGGAAGTTTTCTTCTCTTGGGCACATGCCAAGGACTGTTCTGAGCCCACACACACAACAGTTCCAGCCCTCAGAAACATCAGAAGCACCTTAGTTTTCCGAACCCCAACCCTCCCCTGGATTTCCACCCTAAGCCTAAAATCGGGCCAATGTCCAATGCATAACACCAACTTATAAAATCCTCACCTTCCAGAGTATTTTCTGCCCTGCTCATTCTATTTTGCCATTCTGACAACATTCCACTGCTCAGAGAAATTAAGTGCACCTTAGTTTTCCGAACCCTAACCCTCCCCTGGATTTCAACCCTAATCCTAAAAATGGGCCAATTCCCCCTGCATTACACCAATTTCTAAACCTTCCTGAGGTTTTTTCTGCCCAGCTCATTATATTTTGGCAATCTAATCATGTTCCAGCCCTCAGAAACATCAGGAGCAGCTTAGTTTTCCAAACCCTAACCCTACCCTGCATTTCCACCCGAACCCTAAAAATGGGCCAATTCCCCATACATGATACCAATTTCTAAAATTCTCACCTTCCTGGGTTTGTCATGATTGTCCTTTTTCCACTCACTCTACTTTCCCCCTTCGCTAGGACTATCCCCTCAATGTCAGTTATAGCTATTTATTCTATAGCAGGCAGTGCTGAAAAAGGTCAGGCACTTGGTTTTCACAAACAGTAGGGCAGAATAACATTTGCAGGGCTGGGCTTGTATTTTTATTCCTTCAAGGGCTAGAGACCAGCTTTTAAAATGAAAGCTGAAAATGCAGAAAGGCTGGGGGACACGGCAAGCACTTTGCTTATTTATTGTTTTTCTGAGTTGGCCCAAAACTAGGATTTTCTGGGTTGCATACAGTAAAGAAATAAAATCAATACAGTGTTCAAAAGCACATCGATTAATCCAATACAAATTTCATCTGGGTACAACGTGGGCAACAAGACAATGTGGGAACCCTGCATGAAATGCAGAAAGGGAAACAGCAAACCACTCCCAGTTACATGTAAAATGACAGACTGAATTTCCAAGGGTAGAGCTGTTTCTTCAGCTCTTGCAGTAAACCTCGAACTTCATCTTCGCTCCTAGTTTTGTTCCAGCCAAGCATTCCTCAAATTTTTTATCCATGTTCTGCGAGTCCGTGAACAGGCTTTTCCAGTCACCAACACATCCTGCAGAAATAAAAATATGTAGAGCCACCACATAACTGAAGTTCTTTGGGCCGCTCGGAAACAACGCCATAGGTCACCTGTGCACTCTTGGCTCCTCAAAGTATTTTGCGGGCACATTCCTATCCTCCAGGGCCTTTCCCCTGTTTTGCAACCATTCTGAGGCCAGCAACCATTCCTGTGACTCTGTTTTAGATAGAGAAAAGTGTTCTGTCAACTGAAAATGCCCCTATGAGAAGTTAATGTGTTTTTGTAATACCACGCTGTTGCAACACCACTTGTGCTTATGTAATGGAACATATAGAAAAACAGAGAAAGAAAAGCTTGCACAGCTCCCAGAGAAGGGACACATACGATAGAGCCAATCTTAATCCCACAGAGAAGCCTGGAAGCAGAGATTTCAGGAAAATGG